AGTTGCAAGTTACAATCATTCAGGTAATCCCATGGCTTTGAAAGCCTTCAGAGATAACCCTAAGTTTGGGGTGATTGAAGGGGAGGTATCTCAGACCAAACCTTAAAATGACAAGAAAACAACATTCAATATCTATCATGTGCCAAACACTAATAATAATTCATATACATTATCTCATTTAATAATTCACTCATTCTATCATTACTAACCACCAACTGTTGTGTGAGACATTTTCCTAGCAATGTGATGATACAAGACCTGTCCAATGTCACACAATGGGTACACTGCTAAGCTAGGCAAATTTAATTTTTGTTTCGGAACAGTGGATTCAAATCTTCTCCTCACTATTGAAATGATTTGTGTTTCTGGGAAAGTTGCTTCCATTTATTTTCCTCCTGTGTTTCTCATACTGTAAAAGAGGAAACTGCTTCCACTACTCTCAAATTTGATTTATGATAACTCTAAAGAATTCTTAAAGGGGCATTGATGAAATGGAATAGGTGCTATAACTATGATTTCCCATAAATAGTCCAAGCATAATTTTTCTCATGACAACATCACTGCATGAGGCTTTCCCTCTTTATATTTTTTTTTCTTACAAAAACAGTGTGTGCCTACAAACCTTAGGGATATACAAATACTTAAGATTCTTAACTTTGACACAGAATGTGTTTACGAAAGCTACAGATTCACATGAATGTTAATATCATGACTTTGAAACTGAAAGAAAGCAGCAACTGTGGAAAATGTAGCATTGGGTATAATTTACATCTTTTAAAGCACATTTCTTAAGCGTCTACTCTTAAGAAAGCACTTTCTCATAAGCTGTCACATTTATCTGTATCCTTATAAATGTTTTAGCTACACTTGAGTTTCACTTCCAAACTATAACTACCCGATGCAAAGGGGGAACTTTATAAAGACAAAATTCAGAAATGAAAGTAACATGGTAAAGATTTGGCCTTCCCCAAATTTCTCCAAAATAAAATTTAGTGTAAAATTCACATGCTAAAAAAAAATCTCTCCAATTTTTAGATTGGCTAATAAATAAATGTTCAAGAAGTTTTGTTAACTGCATATATACCCTGAGTACATCCACAGTGTGGCCAAAATGAAGTAAGGCTAACCGAATTAAACAACACATAAAACTCAGCCCCCAGCCATATAGGCATTCCTTGTGTTCACATACCAAAGTCCTAGTTTCTACGTGAAATATTTTTCAGAGTATACGAGAATTGCCCAGAGAATGTTCCTTCAGTATCATTTTAGTCAAGGACACAGTGAAATTCTCAGAACCCAGACTCCCAGGGAATTTAAAGAAAGGCCTTATTTGTGTAGCATAACAGGGACTGTCCCAACCTGAGACAAAGAATGGATTCCTCAGAGGCAGTGGGAGTCCTTAGAGTGTAGCCAAAAGTCTTGAGTGCAAGGTCAAGCTCTGCTACTGTTCCATCCTTCAGGGAAATGGTATTCCAAGTGTGGTTCCCAGACTTACAGCCCCAACATTACCTAAGAACATAATAGAAATGCAAACCTGTGGGATCCCCAACCTACTGACTCAGAACCCTAGAGGGAGGGCCTAGCCTTCTGGGTTTTAAAAAGCCATCCAGGGGATTTAGATGCACACTCAAATTTGAGGGTCACTGCTGCAGACAAACTGCTTCTCTGGAGCCTCAATATCTTCAGCTCCAAACGGGAATAATGATAACAAATCTGTCTTCTTCAAGGGATTATTCAGTATCAGATAGATTTGGTAACTTGCAAACTTCTAGGTAATGGCAAAGTTTTGATCCAGAAAGATAACACTGAACACTATTCGTGAATTTGAAAAGTAGTCATAATACTACAGGTCCTCAGATAGATTGCTAATGGAGCATTCTAACCAAAAGCTTACTGAAATGTGAAGTTTTCTGTTTGGTCTGCAATGTTTTATATATGATATTTTGCTACAAACTTCACATCAAAGACAAACCTCACGATGCCCCCTGGTGATGATCATTAAAACTTTTTCTCACTTTTGTCAGGTCATCTTTCTCTTCAAATGATTGCAGTTTGAAAAATAACTGGGATCCTGAGAGAAAGAGGAGCCAGAGAAAGAAGATCTGTGATAAAAAGATTTTTTAAAAACTGTTTCAAAGGAACTATAAAATTTCGGTAATTTGCTTTTTTTTTTTCTGTTGAAAAGACTGAATCACAACTACTTAAGAGACCGTTTTCTGCCCTAAAGAAAGAGATTAGTAATCCTTTCTTCCCAGAAATCCCATGATGATAGTCTACCTCTTTAGCAGCAAATAATAAGAAGTTTTTTCTTGATCCATTGTCAAAAGTTATGAAGGCAATAGGTCACTTTCTCCTTAGTATTTTGAACTCAACAATGAAATTACCACCTACCTGACTTGCTTCTTTGTTTAAGCTAATTAACGCCAGTTTCTTTGATTTTTATAATTTTAAATTTCTGTCAGTCATTAAAAATCATGTATTTATCTTGTTCTTACGATATCTCCAGGGTCCACTTCAATGTTTAGAGATTTCTTCAAACACAAATTCCAAAGTTTCTAGACAGCAACATCCACTAGAAAGTGACCTATTGCCTTCATAACTTTTGACAATGGATCAAGAAAAAACTTCCCCAGATTAGTAGAAAGCTTGGCGACGGAGAAGGTACTCAGTGTTTATGAAATTGGAATGTCATACAAACCTCATCAATGATATTTATATCAATTGCCCTAGCAGACACTAAATAGAGTAAAAAACTCAATGTTCTATCAAAGTATAATGGGTTAAATAGTGTCCTCCAAGAGTCATATCCACTCTGACACTTGGAGTATGAATTTATTTGGAAACAGAGTCTTTGCAGATGTAATTAGTTAAAATGAGGTCATACTGGATTACAGTGGTCCACAATCCAAGGATTGGTATCATTCTAAGAAGAGAAAACAAAGACATGCTCCTTTAAGCCCCAGTTTATGATACTTTGCTATAGCAACCCCAGGAAACTAATATAACAAGCATTACTATTTCCTGCACTAACTGAACAACCAGCAGTGTTACCATAGATTGTCCACTGTCCACTAAAGGCCCTACTTCAGAAACATTATTCTCTTAAAGAGAGATACAAATAAAAGACATTTTATTTCAGATCATCCTTGTTCTCAAAAGCTTGATCATTCAAAATCCAATTCTAATTCCGGTAATAAATAAAAATGTTAGAAAAAGTGAACATACTATAAAGAAAGGCAGAAGAACATCCAATGATTAAAAATCATATAATTGAAGAATATTCATTTAAGGAAAGTGTTTATAGAAAAATCCTGGTAAAAATATAGTTTCAAATGTTCAAAAGCCATGTGAATTTCAAAAAATAAAAATAAAAATAAACTACTAATTTGTAAAAAAGAGTATTCTTTCTCTGGAAGCTTACCATCCAAGGGCAAGAAAGACTTGAAATCAATTACTTCATTATGTTGCCCAAGCACATCATCGAAATACCATAGAAAAAGTGGCACAAGAAGGTACCATAGAAGTAGCAGTGGCACCAGTGGTATCATAGAAAATGTGGCACTAAAAGGCTGTTTTGGAAGTCAAAGAGGCATCACAGGACATAGGGAGTTAAATTAAGACCCAGAGGATAAGTAAAATCATGTCATATTTTCAAGGTCAATATTAGCAATATCCAGTTTGTACTAAACATTCAAATCTATACATTTTTTGAAACACTGTGGTGATTCCTTAAAAAATTAAACATAGAATTACCATATGACTCAACAATTTTATCTGAGTATGTTCCCAGAGGAACTGAAAGTAAAGAACAAATGTTTGTATACCCATGCTCATAGCAGCAATGGTCAAAATGAGAAAACAGCCCAAAGTCTCATAGGTGGGCAGATACCTGTGGATAGACAAAATGTGATATATACATGTAACTGAATACTATTTAGCCTTTGAAAGGAAGGAAACTCTTACACATGCTATAAGATGGATGAATGTTAATGATATTTTACTAAGTGAAATAAGTCAGTGATAAAAGACAAATATCTGGTTCCACTTACACTACGCTAAGTACCTAGAGTGGTCAAATTCAGACACATATAGTAGGTTGCCATGGAGGGGGGAAATATCTTATTTCAAAGTATTTACAGAAACTTCTAAAATAGGTGTACAAAGGGAATGGGGAGCTAGAGTTGAATCGATAGAGAGTTTCAGTGGGAGAATGTACATTTTATGTTGTGTATATTTTGCCACAATTTAAAAACTGTATATGTTTTTCTAAAACATAGACTTTATACTCATTTTTTTTATTTGAATTACCTTCAGTATAAAATATTGCTCTAGGAGGTAAAAAAAAGACTGAAACCTCAACTTAGAGTACTGATCAGTCAGGAAAAATAATTAATGGGTCAACAATTATTTATTGAATACTTTCTGGATACATAGACTTCTAATTATTACCTTGAATGTTCAAGCACGTTCACTTGTATATAAAAATGCAATAGAAAAAGTGACATTTCTTTCTCAAAAGTTGGGAGTTGCCAAGACAAACTCTTGCTCAGCATTTGAAATAAAATGATGTCAAAGTTCATTTTCAAATGAGAACAAAGTGCATTTTTCATTGTTTATGGCTTAAAAACAACTAACAAAAGTGTCACCTTTGGATTAATTACAAGGGATAAAAATTTATGCTCTGAAAAGCAGTATTTTCAAAAAGTTAGAGGTTACCAAAAGCAGTATGTAATAACCAAAAAATTTAATCATAGCTGATATATTAAAATATTTATTATAGAAATCAGAGTTCACTTAGTTCAAACAAGTTCAGCAGGCACAGAACAAAGAAACAGGAGAGAACAGGTTTTGAAATTCTAAAGCAAAGCAAATCTTTGAGTCATTTGTATAATTTAAGGTTCCAATTACTACAGGTTTTACCATCTGCCCATATTTTTTTCTATTCCCAATAGCATAAACAAAATTATTTTTCAATTGTAATAGAAGTTGATTCTACTTACTCCTGATGGAAATATCTGAATAATATTTCCTGCTATGTCTAGGATCCTGAGTTTTTTAAGATTACAAAGTTCCTGTGTCAGAAAACAGAAGGGAGAGATACTTTTTAAAATCTAATATTAAAATCATAAAGAAAATCCTAATTTCTTTTTAAAACTCAAACATGATAAAGGTGGCTATCTTTTCCCGTTACCTGACCAATTATTCAGTACATCTTCCGGGGCAGATCCCCATATTCTGGACTGCGAGACATCTTTGAATTCTTCATTTCCTCTGACCACTCCAGGGCAACAATAACGTGGCCACTGTGAGTTATGCTACTTCTAGATTCAAATCTCAACTCTGGCAGGTACTACAACTATGGGCAAATTTTTAAATTTCTTTGTACTTCAGTTTCTTCATTTGTAAAATGAAAATGCTAATAGAAGCCCTTATATCATATGGTTGTTGAATGGATTAAATGAGTTACGAACCTGAAAGTGCTTACTAAAGGTCTACTGTGCAGTGAGCACTCAATAGAAATTACCAATTATTAAAATAGAAAGAGACTTTGAGCAACAGAAAAGAGATGTAATCCTGGAATATTGTCTCTATTGAAAATTCCACCAGGATTTACTAAACAACTACCTTTTGCTTAGCCCTATGCTAACACGACCCTTTCCTTACAAAATAAATAAAATCTGTTACTGTCTTTATCTACATGCCCAATGTAACTGTTCATTACCATAGTAACCACACAGCTGTTATGATGCATCTGGGTTCTGGTATTTCTACTAGCAAGCAAAGGATAAGTAGTATTTGTCTTAAGTAGAAACAAAAAAAAATTTTTTTAATTAAAAACTAGAGGTACGACTTGTTAAACAGTCCCAACCACTTATAGTGATATTTCTAAAATGTCACTCATATATTGATGATCAAACTTCTCCCTAGGGAGATAATACGCCTCTTCAGTCATGCCAATACTCTTCCTCCTCAGTTTTATCACATGTTATCACAGGTTTCATTCTCTGGAAGCATATGCTGAGATGGAACTTGAGGTGCTAAATATTTATTAAGGATCACCCCTGTAAAAGGCAGGGTCAGGAAGCAGGACTGAGAAGATGGGGAAGTTGAGGTAGAATTCAGAAACAATAGAATCTTGTGTAGGTGGGTGGGGAGCTCCAGAGGGCTACTGCCCATCCAAATTATTCTCCATCAGGCAGAAACGGCCAAGCCTTTATATCCCTCCCTTGTTTGGTCACAGGATCCAGAATGCTTTAGGAAGAGCATGTGACTTTGGGCAAGAAAAGAGGCTCTCTGCAGCTAAGGCAGACTCTGAAAGAGCTAACAGCTGGAGGCTGTCTAAAATCCCCATTCCCTACAGCTAGGCAGCAAGTGCTTGAAGGGAGCCACATGCACGCAGTCGTCTTCCTAAGTCCTACATAGTCTTCCATTTCCATGATACTCTCCTTTGTATTATAAGAGCTACAGAGATTTTCAGACTCCAATGTGTTCCTTCGGTATCGCGTGTTATGATATAAGGGCTTCTCACCCTACTTGAAAACACTTGCTTGTATTACTTCCATTTCCGCCAACTCTTTCGTTTACATTTGTTTTTGCTGCCATGACTGCCACTATCATTGCTGTTGATACCTGTTGCTGTCTTTTTATAATCTTTGCATGTGTATACCCCTCACAAATATTAAATGAAGATTTAAAAATTTACAAATACTCAATGACAAAGTTGTGCTATGCGAATGAAAAGTGTTATGAAGGGTTAGGGAAATGGTGATACATGGACAATTTGGCATTAGGAGGTCAGAAAAGGCTTCCTGGAAAAAGTGAAGTTTAAGCTGAGATTCTTAGTTCTTTAGAACAAATAATGTTCCATTAAGAGCAAACAGTTGTTTGGGATAGAACTATAAGAAGTCTAGTGTGATGGTTAATTTTAGGTGTCAACTTGACTGGATTAACTAATACCTAGAATGTCGGTAACCCTTTGTTTTGGGTGTGTCTGTGAGGGTGTTTCTAGAGGAGATGGGTATGTGAGTCAGTAGAAGAAGTGGGAAAGATTTGTCTTCAGTGTTGTTGCGTACCATCCTATCAGTTAGTGACCTGGATAGAAAAAAAAAAAAAATGTGATTTCCTCTCTCGCCTGGAGCTGGGACACTTCTGCCCTTGGACCTCAGAACTGCAGGCTCTCCAGCCTTTAGACTTTAAGATTTACACCAGTACCACCACCACAACCTCCCTGTTCTCAGGCCTTTGACCTCCAACTAAGACTTACACCGTTGGCTTCCCTGGTTCTGAGGCTTTTAGAGTTGGGCTCAGCCACATTATCAGCACTCCAGGGTCTTCAGCTTGCAGATAGCCTACTATAATACTTCTCAGTCTCCAAAATTATGTGTGCCAATTCCCCTAATAAATCCCATGTTATCTATCTATCTATCTATCTATCTAAATATATTATTAGTTCACTAGTTGTGGCCTTCCACAAAGGGACACAGCCCACCCACAGCACCCTGTCAGAGAAGGTACCATGGGAATATCATCAACTACTTACATCCTCCTACCCTGTCACTTCCTGCCAGTGCGTCTCATCTGCCATATCCAAGAGGAAACCAGAGGACAAAGGGGTTCACTGATGCCCACACAGGTCAATCTCCCAAGCAGAAGGCAGGATGGACAGTGAATATGAAGGAAAAAGTGAAGAGAGCCAGTACATACTCCAAAGCCAAAAAGAACTTGTATTTTGTTCTGTATACCTGGTTACCAGATGTAATGCTCAATTAAACTGAAATATCAAACAATAAATAGGTTTTTTAGTGTATTCCACGTAATATTAGCAACATATTTACAGTAAAAAATTTAATCATTGCTCATCTGGAATTCAATTTTAAGTGAGCATTCTATATTAGTATTTATTAAATCTGGCAGCCCTAGCTAGGTGGGATAATTCAAATTACAGCCTTCCTTTACCATAGGGATTTGGGAAATGACTACATTTAATCTGAGGAAAAGCAAGTGATGGCTTATACTCAGATACCAAAATCTAATCTATAACCACCTCCCATCATGTTGAGTTCTTCTCCAACAACACAATAGTGTGGTTCCATGTTTTGCTCACCTTTGGCAAAACTCCAATGTTGTTTCTGGCTAGCAAAAGTTTCTGAAGCTTCTTCAAGAACTTAATCTCTTCAGGTATGCATATTAGCTGATTGTAGTTAAGTTGAAGTTCAGAAAGATTCTCAAGAAAACAAAGTTCTCTAGGAATGCTGGCTAGTTGGTTATAATTTATACTCATATAAGTAAGACTTTTTAATCTAAAAAAAAAAACCAAAGTATATAAATGAAACTCACAAGAATAACAGAGTCTACTGTATAGGCCCAAATTATCAGAAGCCATGTGTGAATTTGTTTTTTGTAGCTCACCTGAGCTTACTTCACTCAAGCGTTTACAACTATCGTGAATCATATGTATAAAAAGTTTTTGCTGAAATTTAGTTTTTAAAGATCTTTTATAATCAGATGGCTTATGTTAAAAGTATGTTAGGTAATCAAAAGTTAGATTTAAGAAAAAGAAAATTCTATTTCCTTTCTTTATACATATCCATTGACCATATACAAGAGAAAGCTAGAGGACAAGGAGGACACTGACATACCTGTGTATATACACACGGATACAGATCAATACATGTACAGGCATAAGCACACATAGATATAAATATACCCAGGACCACATATATATGAGTACTGCTCGATTGCTTTGGAGGTTCAAAGATGAATCAGACACAAATTCTGCCCTTTTGGATAGCATGGTTTAGAAGAAAATATTAAATAGAGCCATAAACTGAGAACAGAAAATGCCACTGGCTAAGAGAAAAAGATTAAGGAAATTTGAGTCTGTAATTGCAGATATGGTACCAGAAGTATATTGCAAGCCTTTCTAAAGAATTGACATTTTGAATTTGGCCCTGAATAAAAGAACTTATAAAATAGGACAATAAGAGGGAATAGTAAGCTAAGAAAAATATAAGGAAGCCGAAGGGAATTAACATTACTAAGCACAACTACATGCGGGTGCATTAAATTTAATTGTCAGCATAACTCTGAGGTTGGAATTACTACTCTTATTTTTAAAATGAGGAATATAAAGCATCAGAGGTTGTAAATAAATTGTCCAAGTTACCTTTCTAGTAGGTAACAGTATCAAAATTCTAATGCAGGTGTGTCCCTTTGCAAAGCTAAGATGTAATGATCTCAAGGCTTAAATGTATTAAGATTGAAGTAATGTCAGAATGAGGGAACTAAATTTTTAGGTTAGTTTAAAATGGGACACTGGAGGTTAGAATGTGATCAGTGCTAGCAAAGGGAATTGTGAGGACTCTACAGATTTCTCTGTACATAGTATAAGCCATTTGAATACATGGGACTGAAAGGAAGAACAACAAAAAAAATGGTCAGAGAGAAGAAAGAGGATGTCAGTAGAGGGATTCTTGAGAAATATAAACACCTGACTATTAAAAATTAAAGGCACCCAGCAAAGTTATAAACATAGAAGTAGAAAAAGAACCAGATTAGCAAGGAATCTCTGAAGGTATGAGAGAAGAAAATTTCAAAATTAAAGAGATGGTCAAAAGTTTAAATGTTAAAGAGAGATAATCCAAACTAACAAACAAAATTGGTAGAACTAAAAGCAGGGTCACAAACTACAATAGATTTTTGAAATAATCTATTGTATCTATTGTATTTCCATATTGTAGCCACAAACAACTGGAAAATAAATGTTTAAGAATTTTGTTTATACTAATGTATAGAAAACCCTTCATGAAGTAGTTATGAGTACATATAACAAAAGACATGAGGTACCTCTACACTGAAAACTATAAATCATGACTGAGAGAATGTAAAGGGGCTCTAAATAAAATAGAGATGTATTATATTCAGGTATAGAAAAGAAAAATATTGCTAAGATATCAACTTTTAAATACTGATCTATAGATTCAGTAATAGATCCAAATAAAAATTCCAACAGCTTTTTTTGTATAAAACTTGACTTGGGCTGGGTGCAGTGGCTCATGCCTGTAAACCGAGAACTTTGGGAGGCTAAGGTAGGAAGAATGCTTGAGCCCAGAGTTCGAGACCAGCCTGGGAAACATAGTGAGAACCCATCTTTAAAAAAAAGAATCAATTTTAAAATTGCTACAGAAATTCAAAAGACCTAGAATAGTCAAACATTATAAAGAGGAATAAAATCAAAAGACTCACATTACCTGATTTCAAAGTTTATAATGCAGCTACAGTAATCAAGATCACTGGTATTGGAAAAATGATAGTGCTATGGTCTGAATATTTGTGTTCCCTAAAAATTCATATGTTAAAATCTAATCCCCAATGTGACAGATATTAGAAGATGGGGCCTTTGGGAGATGATTAGGTCATGAGGGGGTAAACCCTCATAAATGGGATTAATGTCCTTACAAAAGGCCCTAGAGAGCTTCCTTCCCCTTCTACCATGTGAAGCTAATAAATGCAACAGTTAAGTGAGTCTCAAAAAATATGCTAAGCAAAAGAAGACAGACACAAAAATGTATACACTATATGATTCCATTTATTTAGTTCTAGGACTAGTAAAACTAATATGTAAAGAAGACAGAAATCAGAATATTGACTGCTTATGAAAGGTAAGAATTCACTGGAAGGGTGCATAAGGAAATTTCTCGGCTAAAGAAAATGTTCTACATGTTATTGGTGTGTATACATTTCTCAAAATACATTGTATTGTATGCTCATTAGTTTTATGTAATTTTTATTCAGCAGGAAAAAAAGGCCATTATATTTGACTATGTAAAGGACAATAACAACCTTTGAAAATGATCTATGGTAGAATGGAGAAAAGAGAAGAAAATCTACAATGTCTTACACAGGAAGCAAAATCAATAGACAGAGAGTGCTTTAGAGAGAGATAACAAAGAAGCAAGAGAGAAAGGAAAGAAATAGACCAATGGAGAGAAAGAGGCAGAAAAGAAGAGAATTGAGGGAGCTCAAATTTTCAGGAAAGTAGGAAGTAAAGTGCTTTGCAGTATAATGGGTCAAAGAGGGACAACCCAGCGTTGAAATGGAGTGAAAATGTGTGAAGCAGGTCCTGTGGGGAATGGAATGGGAAATTTTCCTCATTAATCATTTTTATAATCATTATTTTTATTTACTGTGCTCTGATTTACTACATTATGGGAGATGGCTTTTCATTTTTTTTTTAATTTCAAGGCAATAAAATGAGCTCAGACCCTATCACTCATTTGTCTGTCATTCATTTGTGTGAGTAAAGAGGAGGGAGAGAAATGAGTATCTGCCATTGTTCCTGTTTCCACAAAGTGGGGAGATGTTCTACTTTTCCAAAGGAAATCTACAAGAAATATACTTGCAGCTTCTCCCTGACATCTGTCTTCCCCAGAAGACTGAAGAACATCTTCACTGATTGGCAAATTTGGAGAAAGAACTGAGCCTGCTGACGAGTCCTTTACTCTCTCTTCCTTCCAGACTCATTCTGTCACCAGGATGCCTATGCTCTCCTCTTCCTGTGCCTCTCAGCAGCACTGCCCATGACAGAGTTGTTTACTGGTAAAACTCTTACCTGTCCAGGTTTGGCTCCAAGTCCATGAATCAATATTCTGGAGTTTAAACAAGCCAAAAAACAAAACTCCCTTTTCCCTCTCCTAAGTTTTAAACAAATTGTGAAAAAAGATATGGGAATTAGAGAGAAGGAAATCAAACATCAGCACAGAACTGGCATGATCACTCCAAGTCCCTGCTAGCCCTCCTCTGAATTAAATATACCACCCCTTCACAGCCTTTCTTTCTGAGGCAACCGCTTACTTCGTGGCAGAGCAAGAGGAGAATGCCAAGCTACATGTGCTCAGTGCTTTGCCTAAATCCACTGAGAAGTCATTCTTTTGTCTCTGGAAATGAGTGAACAACGAGAACTGAAAGAAGCTAGAATAAAAATAACAACCAATAATAATAAAAGCTAACATCCATTGAGTACTTACTCAACCCTAATACTTTTTATGTCCCAGGCTCAACCCTAAATATCTTGTATGGATTTGCTTATTTAACCATCAAATCGATCCAATAAAGAAAGTATTATCATCATCTTTATTTTGCAGATGAAAATGTTAAAACATAGGAAGGTGAAGAAACTTGTCCAGGATCAGAAAATGGAATTCTGCTTAGAGAGATTACCAATCAGTTGACACCTAGGATATGGCCAGAATAGAGACAACCCAGAATTAATTATAAAACGGAGTAGACCTATATACTTTGCAATCTACTTCAGAGAAAGCATTCTTTCATCTTTCTAACATATTCCATTAGATTTATATGATTCCTTGAATATTGTACTTTGTATTCCAAACAGAAATAAGTGTATGAAGTTATGAAATCATGTTATAGCTGCAAAAACTTTGAGGTTCATCTATTCAAAATTATTCCTTTAGAGATGAGAAAGCAGCAGTACTAAGCAGTTAAATTATTTGCCCAAATGCGTAAATCTAGTTGTACAGAGATATGCCCTGAACCTCATTCATGAGATCTCCCAAGGAATTTTTTAAATTATATCATCAATACATAAATCAATTGATAAACTGAATAAGTAAAAAAACAAGCTAACAACTATTAGCATGGCATTTTCATTGCTGCAAATATTTATCTTCTAAAAAAATTAGATTGATTCAATTCTTTTCTAGTCACACTTACTCAAAATGTTGATTTCTTATAAAAAATATATCTGGTAGGCCGGGTGTAGTGGCTCATACCTATAATCCCTGGATTTTGGGAGCCCGAGGCGGGTGAATCAAGAGGTCAGGGGATCAAGACCATCCTGGTCAACAAGGTGAAACCCCATCTCTACTAAAAATACAAAAAAAATTAGCTGGGCATGGTGGCGCATGCCTGTAGTCCCAGATACTTAGGAGGCTGAGGCAGGAGAATTGCTTAAACCCAGGAGGCAGAGATTACAGTGAGACAAGATTGTGCCACTGCACTACAGCCATATATTTGGGGAAAATAATGCATTGCCTAGAGGTATAGACAAGTAAATTGGAATAGACAGGTGCTGCAGAAAGCCCCTTGTTGAGGACTCTTCAAAGTTTGGTATTCTCTTTTAAAACTCTGGATGCTCTTGCTCTGTGATACATTTGTTTCTGTTCAACAGGCAATAAAGGGAGTCTCCAAAGTAAACCTGAACAGAGTTATCTCTCCATCTGTCAGAGGAAAAGTCCAAGAGGGTGTTTTGCCTACAGAAGGACAAGGTCCTCAGGTGGCTCCAGAAAGGCATTCTGCCTGTGCAGATGTGTAGGATAAGGAAAAACAGCATTTTTTTTTTTGGTTAATGACAATAAAATGTGGGGTTTTTAAAAATGAAAATGACATAGCAGTTTTAAATCCTTAGTTTTTATATTACCTTTTCCATCAAGCTCAAAATGGTTTACAATACACATGTGAAATAACATTTAACATACCCAATTCTGAGGCTGACCAAGCTCCAAGAACCTCAGAGTTGGGAAATTAATGATACCATTAGCTTTAGAACTTTGTTTCAAAGCCCCATGTTTACACTAAGACTACCAAGTCATGCTGTTTCTCATTTCTACAAAGTGCTTAAGGAATCATCTGCTTAAAATTAGTGGCTTGCCTCAGTCCTTCAGATCCCTCTTTGCTATTTATACACCCCACAGGGACTTGATGTTAGGCATTACACTTTCAGATGACCAGGGTGGGGATAGAGAGGGGGTGTGATTGTTAACCAAGTCTTGCTATAAACTAAATTACCTGCTGACTTCTTGAGGAAGCTGCGTAAGATGATTGTTGTTCAGATTAAGCAGGATTAAATTTTGTAAGCCATCTGTTAGAAAATAATTTTAGTCACTTTAGCCATCTGTTAGATAATTTTTCATCACTTTTCTACATACATTTGTTTTTCCTTTAGTTTTTACGTTGGTCAAGGCTCTTTCGTTGGTGGTAACAGAAACCCTCTTAAACTACCTCAAGTAAAAAGGAGAAATTTATCACAAAGTTACAAATCTAAGTCACTGTGCCTGAGGAAAGAGGATGCAACCATGTTCATCACAAACTGAAATCAGAAGCTAAAAGGCACCCAGAACTTAAGAACGTATTCTCTGAGTATCTCTGCAGAAAATAATAGGTTAGTTCTTCATTACAGCTTCTCTCATTTTAACATTTATATTCTCTTACCTGCTCTCTTTTTCCTCCCTCTATTCTTTCTGTTTTAAACATGTTTGCTCTCTTTTTCTATGTACTCATAACCATATCGTAACTTCTGAATTTGAATGTTCACAGACAGGGAAGACAGAGCTTTCAAACTCACATGCCTACAGGAATCAAAATGATAACCTCATGCCAGGTCAGACAGAGCCACCACCATTCAGCCAGCTCTGACAACTGTCACATGGGAATGCAACTGCAGTGTTGCTATATCTTTCTTTTTTGAAACATTTTTAAAAAGAGCCAGAGATCCAGACTTCTATGTGAACTCTCCTGATTTGAAAATGTGAGTACTTAATCCAAAGTTTTTTAAAGGCCAACAAAATAGAATCAACTTACTTATTAATCAGATTCAGTCCATGGGCTACCAGTTTGCAACTTCTGCCTCAGGTCATGTAATTATCTCAAACCAATTTAACTGTTTTAGACTCTATTGCAATCCCCAAAAAAGAGGAAATACGACAAACTTAGCTTGTGACCCAAGTCCAGCCTGATCAATCTGCTCTGGTCAGGGAAACAGGGTCATGTAATGCAACAAGGTTGTTCAGACCCATGCTGGGCAGCATTAAACTCCCTGATATCAAACTGCTTCTGACTGAATCATCAGGACCTAAAATAGACCATAACGTATGTCAATCGTGTGGAATTTTCAAAATTCAACAACTCCAAATCAAGAATGTTCCCAATACAAAGAAATGATAAGTGTTTGAAATGATGGCTATGCTAATTACCCTGATCTGATCACTATATATAATATGTATCACAATATCACTATGTACCCCATGAGTATATACAATTGTTATGTCAATTTTTAAAAATAATTTTTAAAAAGAAATATAGAAACTGAAGACATTCAAAAGCACTTTGAATTTTATATACATATATAAAATATATCTATGTAGATATAGAAACAGATGTATATATACCTAACTTATTATCTCAAATTTAAAGGCAACATGATAAAAAATTCCTTATAGAGCCTTAAATTAGTATAAATTAGTATGCTCAATATTGTTTATGTACATCAGGTTGTACTTAAATTTGTACCCTCAGTATAGGTCATAAAATATTACTATCTATTGATTTGCATGACCTTAACTTTTTTAGTATAGGTTTTCTTCCAAGGTAAATTGTAACTGAACTCTGATCTATGGCTTTCCGTATATAATGTGTTCAAGTATCAATAACTGTTTGTCACATCTATTGTTTTGGAAAAGAATATTTTTCCAAGATATCTGACCTAAGATTTTAAAGTACCTTTAAAAAGACAGTACTAGAGTCTTCTTGTTATTTGCCAAATATAACCCCAAATTTAATGCTGCATTCAGTAATGATGTTAATAAATTCTGTGTGAAGATGAAAATGATTATATATAGCACCTGTGTGTCAAAAGTTCATAGAAATTTATAAATTTTATAATATTTCTCTAGTTTTACTACTAAGGGCCAACATAGAAATGGTGAAGTACCTTACATTAAGGTCAATAAAGCTATAAAAGCCATCTAGATCTCTTGTCATACATTTGTCCTTAAGCTCACTCTAGGAATATTGAATAAAAATAGTCTCATCTTGAATGGAGAAATTATTAGTTAATGGGAAAAAGAAAGAAAAATGTGTCACTTCTGGATCTCATATCTTTTCTTTAAAATCATTCCAAATTGATTTAAATTTAGCATTTTGTTCAAAAAATGTGACAATATCTAAGAATAAAAAGTGAAAAGAACGAAGCTACGGTAGAGCTTTACTTGATTTGACTTTCAAATAGAATTTCTCTGGCTCTGGAAAAGGGTCCCCAGATTCACGAGTCTGACTTTATACTGATTCTGCAAAGGGGAAAATTCATTTACACTGATGCTTACTTATTTCCTTTGGTCTACATGTAAATAAACATATGATACAATACTTTATAAAAGTGTTAACTCCTCCTATGTTTCAAGAATAGTATGTAAATACCTCCAACAAAAAAAAGATTAAGCATGCACAATTCTTTTTCATTTCAGTCTCATCTTATTAAATATGAGAGATTAAATTTGATGTTATAACATTGCTCCTTGTTGAATAACTTACCACATGCTCCAGGTGCAAATCTACAGATCCTATTTCCAGATAAATGGAGATTCTTCAGAGATATAAGATATTTCATCTCTTCCGGAACTTCTTCTAAAAGGTTGTTTCCCAGATTTAGTGTTGTTAACTGCAAACATATAGAGGTTTAGTTGACCCATATTTATCCACTTTCAAATGAAAAAAAAAAATTAAGCCCCTTGCTCAAATCTATGTAACGTAATAAAACTTCAAAATATTCTTAAACAATGATTTCACTTATATGTGAAATTATCTTTATAAATAAAGCTCATTTGAGCTTCATGCTCAATTTATGTTAATTAAAGCACAATTTAATTTTTAATTGGAGCACTTAAGTTAATTAAAGTTGTGTTACAAACCATTCCAAGGATATGTAAAAACACAACCTATGATCCATTTCTAAATCATTTGAGCAACTTAAGAGTATCCGAACATTGTCACCCATAGAATCAAACATTAAACACTCAGCAAAGGGACTAAGTTCCTGAAAACAGAAACAGGGCCAAAGATCTGAGGTCCTCCTGACATACTACTCTCAAATGAGCTCTCATGCAGGCCAGTAAGACTGCTCTATTACATGTTTACAGCCTGGGGGGGCCTTAACTTTGATGTCACTTTATGTAATGACAAAATTTAGAAAAGAAACTACTGAAATGGGATAATGAGGGTAGAAAAGATCTACTCTATAGGTATCTGTCCTGCTGATGACAGATTGGTTAGGCCTAGGAAGAACTGCCCATAAGAGAAGTTAAAAAGTTTCTCCTTGGTGTTGTAGTTCAATAAATCAGTGATACAGAATTGTTCCAGAAAACGGTAGTAATTTTCTTTGTTGTAAAATGTAATTGTACTTTCCAAAATACAAAGAGTCTTTTATTTTACTCCCAAACATAATTTGCTACTCAGGTTCAATTACCAATTGCATACTGTAGAATTTTAAAGGTAAGAGTAAAATAAAAGGAATCATGGAAGTTTTAACAAACTAATGAATTTACATAAAAAAAGAAATGGGCTGGGCACGGTGGCTCCTGCCTGTAATCACAGCACTTTGGGAGGTTGAGGCAGGCGTTTCACCTCAGGTTGGGAGTCTGAGATCAGCCTGACCAACATGGAGAAACCCCATCTCTACTAAATACAAAATTAGCTAGGCATGGTAACACATGCCTGTAATCCCCAGCTACTCGGGAGGCTGAGGCAGGAAGGGTCGCTTGAACCCGGGAGGTTGCGGTGAGCTGAGATCACGCCATTGCACTCTAGTGGGGGCAAGAAGAGCAAAACTCTGTCTCAAAAAAAAATTAAGAAGAAAATTTAAGCCATTCACAATTTATATTTAATTGTCACCTATTACTTGTTATGGATGTAAGACAATGTTTTAAATTAATACAAAGAAATACACATTTATATGCTTACAATGAAATTCCTTATCCTAAGAATTCATGGTACAGGTTTCACTTGCATATGTGCTTTGACCTGAGAATTACCATTATCCTAATTTATAAAAGTATAATACATCTACTACAATATTGGAGGCCTTCTTCTATTGTAAATGTGAAGTTAAAATACATTCATGTAGCAATTTTATCCAGTCTATAACTTCATTAGTTTCCTATAACTGCTATAAAAAATTACCACAAACTGTGGCTTAGAATAACACAAATTCATCTTATATTTCTGGAAATCAGAAACAGTCTCACTGACTAAAATCAAGCTGTTGGTAGAGCTGCATTCCTTTCTGGAAACTCCAGGGGATGATCTATTTGCTTGCCTTTCCTAACTCTCAGAGTCAGCCTCCATTCCTCGGCTTATAGCTCCCTTTCACTTTTAAAGCCAGCAATGGCTGGTTGAGTCTTTTTCAAATCACATCACACTAATGCTGACTCTTCCATATTTAAAAACCCTGGTGTTCAAGGGTTCAAGGACACTGGGTCCACCTGTATACTCCAGGGTAACTTCTCAATCTTCAGGTCAGCTGACTATCCACCTTACTTCTAGCTGCACCCTTAATTCCCCTTTATCATATAATCTAACACATTCAGAGGATCTGGGGATTAGGTGTGGGCATCTTTGGGGGTTTGTTACTTCGCTATCAAAGTGACTACTTAAAATCTCTTTTCCAAAATTGAGGTCGATTTCATTCTTTTGCCAAAATTTGGTGAAACATGTGCAGCAGTCTAGCAGTGCTGAGAGTCCAACAAAAGCTCCATGAGGAATGGCGAGAAAGAGTGTGTCAGTCTTGTGAAAGTTCCAAGATTTTACCCAGTTTACAAGCTAACAAGTGAACTTGCCACAGTTTCATGAATGCTGGTGGAAAACATGAGACTCTGGGAAAGATACAAGGGACAGATTATTACTTAGATCAATAGAAGTGTCCAGAATATTACTATTTTTGCACTGGAGATGTAAAGAATGCAAGAGATAACCTGGACGTGAAGTAGGCTGTGTTACTGAACAGGAACAATGAGTTTAGGAACCCTGAATCTTTCATGATGAGCAGTAACCATGCCTTGCCCTTTGCTCCAGAGGGAGACACTATTTGTAATTTCCAAGGCTATCTGCTACGTAATTATACTGGAAAAATTAATCCAAAACAAAGCCAGCCAGTGCCTCTGTTTACAGGATGTGCAGAAGTGTGAGACTCATGGTGAATAATCACCCCCAAAAAAGAGACGGTAACATACATTTTAAAAATAAACAAGAAACAGCTTGTAATATCCCACACTATCAATGTTTTTCTGTATATTTCTAAGGGCACATACTGTTCAGTGCTCATTTTACATGTTATGTGGTAAGTTCTTATGTAAGAGTTAGATACATTTTTGTCACTGTTTTACAGAATATAAGAGTCTGGCCCAGATCATGAAGGTACATAATAACTAGGTTTCATGGTATGTCAAAGGGAAATCACAGATTATAATCAATCTTGACCGTAAAGAAGGGTGTGTTTTAGTTTTGGTTTAGTTTTTGTTTTTTTTTGTGTGTGTGGGGGGGGTTGATGCTTAGAATTATATCCATAAACGAATTGTTTTAAAAATGCAGTCTAAACTGTACATCTTTTAAATAGATACATATCTCTTAAAGCAGGTGGGTCGCCATTCATTTATTCACTTATTTAAAAATATTCATTGTATGCATAAGATATGTAACATCTTTGCCCTTAAGGCACTTACACAGTAAGAAAGCAATGATCCAATGAATAAACGGCTAAACAAATGAATATAAAAATAACAGACAGTATTAAGTGTTCTAGAGACAATTTAAAGAGTGAGAAGAATGTGATTTGTTGATCAGGGAAACCTGTCTTAGAAGTTGATATATAGACTGAGATCTGAGTGACAATAAAGAAGAAACAGTCAAAATAAAGACTCCAAAGCAAGCACATTCTTGGTGAGGCTGAAGAGGCCAGGAGGTGTAGCTGATGTGGCTGAGCACTGCAGGCAGAGGAACAACGAGCAAAAGAGAGGTTGGAAAGCTATACTTGGGCCAGTTTACATATGGTTTCCTAAACTGCAGTAAGGAGTTGAGATGTTACTCTAAGTTCAGTGAGAAATGATGGTAGGGTTTTAAGCATATATGTAACATTACTTGACATATGTTTTAACAGGATCATTCTGGTATCTACAGCAGAATCTTCAGAAGCAGCAAGAAGTGAAACACAAAGAGGTTAAAGAGGCAATACTGCAATGGTGCAGGCAAGAGGCAACAGCTTGAGCTAGGAAGCGGGTGGTGAACCTGGAGAGAGGTGGATGGGTTTGGGATATGCTTTGCATGAAGAGCCAGAAGGTTGTAAGATGTAAGAGAAATAGAAGAATCATGAGTAACACCTAACTTTGGAACTTAGGCACCTGAGATGGGGAAACCAGGACAAGGACGGGTTTGGAGGAAGGACAAGGAATCAAGAGTTTCGTTTTATCCATGTTAAAATTAAGATGCCTTTTAGATCTTCAAATGAAAATAGTAGGAATTGTAAATGCAATTCTAGGGCTCTCCGGAGTAATCAAGGCCACAGAATAAGTTTGTGAGCCTTCAGTAAGTAAAAGGCATCATTTGGGATTGTAACATATGAGAATGTGAGCCCAGCAGAGGAAGCAACTGAGGAGTGGGTGAAGTAGAAGGGAAAGATAGGCCACTTAAAGCATCTGAGACAACACATCCCACAGCTGAGGAGTGCTCCATCCTCAGCTACCATTTTTACTGTGAGGACTTTTTCCTGCACCCTTCTCAGAAGAATTTCCTTTAACTTCAAGGAATTCCAGGCTTTACCTGGAAGGTCATGCCTCTGCTCCATCCTCCCAGACAGCCCCTACACCACGACAGATGCCAGGACATAACTGCACAACCCCTTTGCCTCTGTGCTGCAGGGCATTTCCAGAGCTCTGGAGGGATTGGGCTGAAACTACATTTCTCCTGGAACCACCTCTTTACCCAGATTCCTTCCCTGCCCTGTCCAGATTCCCTCACTCCCAGACAGGTTTCTTCTGAGAGAACTGTCTTAATAAATTACAAAAATCTATGTTTCAGGATTTCCAAGATATATAGTGTAACAGAATCCAAGGGAAAAGAAAAAGAAACAAAAAATATTTTAAGAAGGAAGATGTGGGACACATCCCAGGGGAAGGTTAAATAAAATTAAAGCATAGAAATAACCACTGGATTTAGCAACTAGAAAGTCATTAGTGACCTTGAAAATAGGGGTGAAGTGTTGGGGAAGAAAGTCTGATTGAAGTGGACTTTGCAGAAAATCTAAGAAAGAAAAGACAATGATGAATAGACAATTCTAATAAGAACTTTTGCTATGAATGGAAACTAGAAAATGAAAAAGAAACAAGTATTTTTCCGCCCTCAGACAAATGATAGTATAGCTTATTTATGTGCTGATGGAAAAATCCTACTGGGATGACAAACTAATGCCCAAATACAGGGACATTCACAGAATCAAAATCCTTTAGAAGATAAGATAGGTCCAAGGTACAAATGAGTCCTGGCCTTAGGTAAGAGTAAGGGCTTTTCATCAAGGGTAGTAGGAAGGAAGGTAGGAATGGGTGATTGAGGATCAGCTAAGTAGATGAATTCCTGATTAAAAGATGGGAGAGTTCCTGAAAGATTTCTGTTTTC